AGGAGGCACTGTGGGGTGTGTGCTAAAAATATCACACACTCAGCAACCAGTGCCGTCCCTACAGAGGGAAATTGCACAGCCCTGCAAACAGTGAGAGGGAGGAAGGAAGGGAAGAAGGAAGGAAGGAAGGTTGGAAAGTGTGGAAGGTGTGTGTGTGTGTGTTACTGTGTGTGTGTGTTACCTCTCCGCCAGTGCTGTGTGGTTTAGTTCTGCAGGGTAGCGGCCTCCAGGCAGGTGCAGGTGGAGGGCAGAGGGGTGGAGAGGAGAGAAGGCGCCCCCTGCAGGCACAGAGTAGAACTGTGACCGCAGCGCAGAGAGACACAGTGACTCCTCCATCCTATGACAGACACAAAGAAACAAAGCAATCGGATTATTGTACTACTCACACTACTATCTGCACAGGCTAGGTGTGGAATATATTATTTGTTTTATAAAGGTATCATCACAGCAGGATGATGTGAATGAATGAAAGTAATGTAGGAGTTGTCACAGGGTAACGAGCAAACAGATGTTTGAATATATAGAAAACAGATTTGTTTGAGTGAAGAGGTATTTACAGGTGTACGCCTGATTTTTAGAAGTATTGTAAGCAACACAGTAACCCATCATTTTCAGGCAGATTTAACCCCAATTCAGTTTCCCTGAGAATCGGAGGAGAAATTTGGTCTGGTACCTTGTTCGAGACCGGACCAGCTGAAAGTGCTGCCAAGCAACGTAACAAATTCTGAGGCTAACATCAGCTTGAATGCATAAATAACCTGTGTTGACCTTGTCTCTCCGACTAGTTTTTTATGCAGACTTGTTTAGCGTTCTGCTTTTGTTTATGAACATTATAACAAGTTGTTGCTCCACACTACACTTTTATTTACGTCTTCTTCCCCATGAGGTCAAATGTGAGACGTGCGATGGTTCATTCCTTTATTTCCTAATCTTGTAGTGTGGGTAGTGAGGACTTCAAAATCCATTAGGTTTCAAAAACTGTAATAGTCTGAGCCGAGCTTAAGTTACCAAATACTGAGACAAACACACTCACCAGAGATGGAAATGGAAATATCTATAAATCTTGTCTTGATTAGAATTTTAACTAAGGTTTTGTGTGCGACAACACAACATGAGATAGTTAGGGTCTTGTGGGACTGAGGAGTTTAAGGTGGTATTGTTACCTTGGTAAAGACAGAGGGTGGTGCAGGTAGGCAGGATGATAGTAAGCAGCAGCTGCTGCAGCATGGGCGGCCGCAGCAGGGTCGAGGGTCAGAGGTAAAGAGGTCAACCGGAGGTCATCTGAGGTGGCGAATGGCCGAAGTGCTCTCAGGTATTCCTCTGGGATGGCGCCTGAGGGAACCACAGGGTGCATCTGCCCCGGCAAACTGCTGAAATGTGACACAGTGTTAATGTAATATCACACATTTAAACTAAAGGTTGGAAGGTTTATTATCAAATAAACTTGACTTGAGTGTGTGTTAAGTTCACCTAAGGCTCTGTATTCTGGAGTTTTGCATGATGGAGCTGGGAGTGAGGCCAAATGGGTGAGCCAGGGGGTGAGGCGACGGGGTAGGTGGAGTCCTCTTGTCCTGCTGCAACTGTGTGTTCTCAGCACTCACCCTCTCCCGGCTGAGTCCCTGAACACCCGGCTCAACCTGGCAGAGAGACAAAAGATGTGGGAGCAGAAATTAATACAGCGCGTGTATCTGTGGGGCTTGAGGGTGCGCTTGACTGTAACTGACAAGGAAAAAAAAAGTTTAGTAAAAGCGCAGAGGGAAATGAGAAGGAGCGACTGGGTTCAGAGGCTCAGCAGAGAGGAGAAGTGGGTCTAATGTGTCATAACAGGTCACATCAAAGTGGAAAAATGATCCTAATAACTGCTCTCTCCTTCATCACTCCCTCTGTCTCTCTCTGGGAGATTTACACTCGGAGGATTTGGTTGACACAAAAGCTGCATTTGATCCTTTATTACTTGTAGTAAGAATTCAAACCCTCAAATTACACCACAGATACCACCACAGATGGTTTCTGTCTTTATGTAGTTCTTATCACGCTGATGTATGTTTCAAGTTTTCCAGTAAGGTTTATTAGTTAATTGTCGCTATAGATACAGGGGAAACATCATGACTGACACACGTTTGATTGTGCATGTTTGTCGATGGGACCTCAATCCCCCCGATCGCTATTGCACAGACTCTGGTTTCAAATGGTGAAGGTGGCAGCGTTGGTATCCAGGATATTTTGGCTCAATTTCTGGGTAGGAGAGGAAGTCGAGACACGTCGTCCCTCTTTATAAACAGTCTATGATATGGATTGACCGACTGTTCAACTGACCAGCAGACTGACACTGCCCAACATCACAAGTCACCACCAGTCTCAAATCAACATTATCTTTAATACTAACACTAGGACCAAGAATACATGTTGGAGAGAATCTTAAAATACACAGATTTTTCCAGGATAAGGAAGAAATTACTGTCAGGAAACTTTAGACTATAGTTTTGATGACAGGAAGACATGCATTGATACACACCTACTATTTGTGTGTGTCAAATGTTGCTACAGTAACAGACAACAATACAGGTCAGACAAGACCATGGACAAACCACAAACAAAGCACCACTGCCAGCAACATCCAATCTGCTACCTGGGCTTTGTGCAGCATTGGCCATGCAGTGAAATGTGTCAGCTTTGAATATGTTTGAATAGTTTTGAATGTGTCACTTGTGGAGAGCAGATTCAAACCAGCAATGTACCATTTCTCTCTGTAAATCTACACTGCTTCAAATTGAGAAGTGTCTGTCAAACAAGCATCACATTCCTTGACCTCTGACCCCGCAGGCAGGCAGCAGCCTTCACAGATGCAGCAATAAACACACCAACAGTCTGTTTCTCCTGTGCTGTCTGTCTCTGTTCTGTGATGAGCTGCATACAGAAAGGACTAATTACACAAACGGTCAGGGCTCTCGCTCTTCTCTCTCTCTCTTCTCTCCTGGTTATTCTTATGTCCCGTCCTTTATTAACATCCCATTCTCTATTTTCCAGCCTCCCTCCCTCCTTTTTCTTCCTGTGAATGTCTTGAATGGGAGCCCCGGGCAGGCAGAGCCACAGAGTGCTCTTTGTGAAGGGGGAGAAAGGCAGCTCTGATCCAGGGGGAAGTGGCTACTGTGGGGGCTAACCCTTGCATTGTGTGAGGGGCCTGGTTCCTCGCCCCGGCTTAAATTCACTCACACACCCACAAGCAAACACATCTACGGACACACAAACACATACACACATGCACACAGGTCCCTCTTCACATCCTAAAGCCTTTTGTGGCGAAGGGTCAAGTACACACACAAATGCACGCACACGCTAACACACACACACACACACACACACAAACACTGCAGGAAGCTGAGCACAATAGGTGCCAGTCTTTGCAGCCTCCAGTGTTTCTTTACAAACCCCTCATGTGTTGCTGAAAAAGACACAGACTGATTGGAGAGAGAAGAGGGTGCGAGGAAGAGGAGTGAAAGCATGAAAATGAAAGAATAAGACAAGACAGAGGAAGAGAGGAAGCAGGAAAGAGAGAGAGAATGACACAGAGGGATGGCTGGTTTTGACAGTTTGATGTTGACAAGCACTGGGACCATTTCTTTAATGGAGGAAGCAGCAGCAGGACGGATAATGGAGACTGAAAGAGACAGACGACTCATCAGTGCGAGAGAGAGAGATGAGAGAAGGATAAACCAACAAGATGGGGGAACAGGAAGTACAGCTACGGTAAGAGAGCGCAGCATATCTCTATCCTCAAACTTGTCTTCAACACCAGCAGGTTTGTCTCATCCCTCACCTGTCGTCCGTCAGCTCTCCACAGGCCGTTGCTGGTCTTGGTGGGAGCAATGGTGACCACTGGAGGAGTACTGGGGACACCGTGGCCCCTGGTTTGTCCCAGGAGGGGTCCTAAAGAGCCCCGCTTCGGAGTGGTGACTGGCGAGCTGTGGCTGGTGGCCGGGGAAGAGACTGGAGACGACTCACCGCTGAGGGCAGAACCTGAGCAGAGGAGGGGATGCAGAGAGAACAGGGGGGAGGTGAATGATAGCGGCAGAGTCAGGAATAAGCTGCAACTATCAGACGGCTGATCAGATTAAAAAGATTTCAGAATCAAACAATCCCCCTGCGACATGATACAGATGGTACACGAGAAGAAAGATCTACTGTTTTGTCAGCGCTGGGCCTGTGAAGAGGTCAACACAAATTCAATCCTTTCTGATGAAGCAGATCCTAGTGAAATGTGACGGAAATGAAGGGAAAGTGTAAAAAGATACAGGAGATACAAGGCATGAGGCTGCGAGATAAAAACGTGTAACGATTGGACAAAAGAAGGATGTCATAAAAGAAAGTGTTAAAAAAGGCTGGGGTGTGACATGGCAAAGGGGGTGGTGTTAAATGTGAGAGAAAATGTGTGTGTTGTGTCCTCAACGCTCACTCCTCCCTTACTCCATTACTGTGACACTTGCTAATCAGTGTACACTCGCAGAAACTCGAACACACTCGGAGACGGTAAGAAAGGAGAAATAATGAGATGGGGGGAGAGCTGGGGGAGGAGGAGAAAGAGCTGCAGGGAGAGAGCAAGGAAGGGAAAACAAGATGGTGATTGAGTGTGGGGGGGAGAGAAAGAGAGAGAGAGAGCTTGTTATAATTGGCTGTAATTAGATTCTCATTATTAGGAGATGAATGGAAACGGATGAAGGAAGAGACAGAGAGGGAGAGGTCAGAATAGGTCAGCTCTTATCCAACACCTTCATTAGGATACCAACGAGCTGAGCGAAGACACAGACACACACACACACACACACACACACACACACACGCACGCACACACGCACACACACACACACACACACACGCACACGCACGCACACACGCACACACACACACACACACACACGCACACGCACGCACGCACACACACACACAGAGCTCCCAGGCACTTAAACATTTCACATTATTTGACAAAACACAACCTTGGTCTTTTAAACGATCTCCTCGCACACTTCCTATTGCTGTGTTGTAGTAAACTATCTAATTTTCTGGGGGAGGGGCGAGTGAGTCTGGCTCTGTGTAAAGATTCTGAAGCAAGATTCATCTCCCAGCATCTGTAATACTCAGTGATCAATAAGTGACACCATGTTTGTTTCCAGGTGTTTTTAAGTGCATGAAAACTAAAGTGGGATAATGACAAGATGTGGGTGCAAAAGCTTCTTCTCTTTTCCTCAGCGTAAAATGGAATGTATTTCCTCAAATGTCTACTTATTCCTTTAATTTTTTTTCACAGTTCAGTTTTTAGTTTGGAGGTGACATCAGTTATAAAATGATAAAGTAAAGGATACTATTAATAATAAACCTGGCATCAGTGGTAGAGGGGGTTGTTTTTAGGTGTGAATAACAAAGAACAGTAGTTGAACAGTGTGTGTGTGTGTGTGTGCGTGTGTGTGTGTCTCTCTGTGTGTGTACATTTCATACTATGTTAGCTCTCCAGGGTGTGAAGCCGCTGGGGCTCTGCATTTTCTTTTTTTCTTTTTTTTTTAACGGACGTCAGATCACTTCTCACCTCTGGGATCCTCTGCCTGTTTGGCCAGTTTACGCAGAGCAGCAGCGAATCCAGAGTTCGTAGATTGGGCAACTGCGTTCCCATTGGTTAGTGGGCTGAGGGGACTGACAGTAGCCGTGGTGCGAGTTGCCGTGGAGATCATTCCTAATGATGATGATTTATTGGACTCATGGTTCATACCTGAGGAGAGAGGGAAGACAAGACGTGAGCAGCTTTATTAGTTTGATATCAATAAGTAAAAACATGTTGGTAAAAGGTGTGTGAGGCCTTTAACAAGTAATGACAAGGTGATCATATTTTAAAATGATGATAGTGGTTTGAATCCTGTTGTGCATAAAAGCACACAGTTTGTGTGTGCATGTGTGCGTGTGCATGTGCGTTCCTGCCTTTGTGTCTGGACAGTGAGTATATACGCTTGGGTCAGCTCCACTAGAGACAAAGTGGAGCGGGTAGAGCTGTGTCAAATAGAGCAGTGACCCTAATAGCAAATCACACACATGAGCGCACACATGTCCATTTCCTCAAGGGAGTCAGTCAACACATCTTAAGACCTCGGGAGCGTCTACATGCAAACAATGTTTGGTATCACTGCATTTTTACACACGGTCACAAATACACACGTGTACACACACACCTAAGTAACACTTATTGATCTCCTGCACAGTGGACACAGTTTGAAGCAGACGTGGTTGGAGTAACCTTTGTCTTCACCCTCTACCCTCTTACTGACCCACTAATGTTAATTACAGCTGGAAATAGCCAGCAGCCCCCCTGCCTGCTATAGCCATGACCTCATTACCACCACGACGCGCACACACACATACACACAACCACCTTTCAAGTATACACACATACCCACCTTTCTCACACACACACACACACAGCCCACCAGGAACAAACAAACAGCCAAAGCAGTGGACACACTCATGAAAAATTCATACATGCATTGAACACCATTAGTGAATGTTCAGCTCATCACACTGATGATTCCTAAGGAGAGGAGCAATAAAGGAGGGTCAGATCTTGTGATCTTGAGAGTTTGTTAACGGAGGGTGTGATGAATCTCATGTGCGTTCAGACGTGACGAGTAGACGTCTACCATCAACCTGCAAGACTTTCACACACGTGAGCACGAACACGCAGAGGGAGCTGTGGAGCCACGGAGCGAGAGAGGAAGGTGTGCGAAGGGGAGAGTGAGGAACAAAAGCCAAACCTTAAAGTGAAGTGAGCATGAGGTGGAGGCTGACATGAAATCTTCTCATACCTGCAACCACTGTCACACACACACACACACACACACATCACCATGCATGTCTCAAAATCCTATAACCAACCATTAGAGCTTAATACAAGTTTTAAAAAAACTACTGCAAAACAACATGATCACTCAACCTGCATGTAACTGCACTGGATGACATGTAGCTTATAGCACGTGTGACATGTAAATAGCTTCTGACATGAGAAGAGTAAAGGCTGCACAAGACGTTCTCCCTGTTTTTTTTCCTGTTTAACTAGTTTCTATTTAATTTCCTTCCTTCTTTACTCTCTGTTTCCCTTTTATTCTTTTAGCTCCACTAATGTATTTACATGTCAGGCAAATTGAAATTGAAGTTGACAGACAGAGAGGGAGAGAGAGATGAAGAGAGTAAAAGCTCAGGTCCTGACAGGCTGTGTGAGCGTGTCTGTATCTCTGTCTCTGCTGAGCCCAGCAGTCAAGGGAGCGATGATAAGACAGTTTCTATCGACTCTTTCTCTCTCCCTCCCTCCTCTCTACTCACTCACTCTTTCCTTCCTTCCTGTCTCTCTCTCTCTCTCTCTTTCACACTCCTTCTCTCTCGTTTATCTCAGCATACTGGAGCTTATTTAACAAAAGCCAACACACATAATCTCCTCTCTGTCTCTTGCTTTCTTTCTTCCTTCTTTCCACAATCTTTTCTTACAGGCTATTCCTCTGATATTTATCCATGTCATTCACACACACACACACACAGAAAGACAAACACACACATACTAACATATGCATGTGCACATAATTCAGACATGAAAACAGACACACTCACCCTCCCACTCACTGTTCTCCTCCTGCTCGTCGTCTTTCTGCTCCTCTGTGAGACTCTTTCTCTCTCTCCCTCTCAGCCCTGCAGCTGCTACGTGGTCACGTGACCTCCTTTCTATCCACCCCTCCTCCGCTGCTGCCTCCTCCTCCTCCTCCTCTCCATCCACCACCCTCCTCCTTCCCCTCCCTCTCCATCCACCACCCTCTCCATCCTATACCTCCTCTCTTCTTTTGTCACTCTTTTTATCCTCACATTTTCTTCACAGAGCCATCCCTCCTCTCTCTCTCAAACTGTGCTCTCTCTTTCTCTCTGTCTCGTGTTCTCTCCTCTCTTCATTCTTCATCTCTCCTCCTTTTGGCTCACTCACTCCTGGGAGGGTGGCGGTGGTTGAGAAGTGGTGGGGGGTGAGTAGAAGGAGGAGGGGCTGGGTTAGGGGGATGACAAGGAGGGTGGGTGTGTGGTTTGAGCTGTGTGTGTGTGTGTGTGTGTGTGTGTGTGTGTGTGGCAGAGGCTAGTGTTAGCCCTCCATCCATCACGCTGTCTCTCTTCTACTCAGCTCTGTCTGCTGTGGGGATAGGGGTGAGTTTCTCCGTGTGTGTGTGTGTGTTTGTGCGTGTGTGTGTGTGTGGGGGGGGGGGGGTCTGATTGTGACCTCTCACCCTTTCACGCTTTACACAAATTAAGACATTTAACTCCCTTTAGGAATCTTTTTTTTAAGTGATGACTGAATAAGTAAACACGACTGAAAGGCCACAGCAGCGGCTCCATGAGGCTGTAATGTTCAGTAGAGACCAGTAAACTGTTGGATTGAGGAAAAACAGAGAGACGACTTTGGCCCCATTACAGAGAATAAAAGTGTTTATGTGCAGTTGCCATTTTGGGACTTTTCAGCTTGTGAGGGTCTCGACAGCATAAAGGTGGGCAATCTTCCCAAAAATACATAGCAAAACATTTTCAATACACTATCACGACCCAACAAGCTATAACTAATATTACTACCAAAATGCTAGCACATGTATGTCAAACTACAGCAACAAGTGTTTGGACTCAAACCCCACCCCCTTCATGTTAATCGATGGGACATGGGCCAAAATAAAGTCAAAGTACACATTAAATAACATCTTCACAAAGAGGTTTTGTTTCATTTTAGGTTGTTCTCAGCACACTAGTGTCTGTGATAAGTTGTATTGATTGGTTATTTCATGGTGTAAAAAAGGGATAAAACATCATGGGTGATAGCTGAGTCTAACTTGTGATTGGTCGATATCGAAAGGAAATTGTTACTCCAACTCCACACCATGATCACTACTGTGCTGATGGCTCCAAAGTCGCACCCAAATCTGGGATATGATAGCTTCATTGTGTGTTGTCCATCTTTTAAATACAGTCTATGGTTCAGACTGAACACAAAGACGATTTTAGAGGCTGTTCAACTGCATAGAAAGACAAGAGAAAGAAAAAGAAACAATAGAAATAGGGAGCAAAATATTTCAACTTCAGCTACAATTGAACTATTTCATGGACGTACAGAGAACAAATGAAAGACCCCCAGAGATAAATAAATAACAGAAAGCACTTCAGTGTCTTGTAAGTTCTGAAACCAGTCTGAGCTGTCAAACACAGATAATATTTGTTCACACGCCATCAGAAATATCTGCATCCCATCTGAACGTACCTTCATACTCAGCTTAGCGTATTGTCTGCCTCAGTGTGTCTGGACTCAGTTATGTGTTAAATGCAGACACCATCATGCTATCATATTTACAAATGATATATTGATATGTACGCTGCAAACCAAACATTCACGTTGGACCAACTATTAGACTCACAGTCCATCAATCAACTGCTCTTGTATTTACAGCCCCACTGTTATTATGGCTAAAAATAAGCATAACAACACCACAAACAGTAAAACAACCCCCAGCTTTGCCAAAATGGAAATTACATCTGGGTGTGATGCCATTTATCCACACACACACACACACACACACACACGCTATGACCGGAGTGCAGTGGCATACGACATGTTGAGACCTATGTCTTCAAGACCTTTTTTATGTGTCTCTTTCACTTTCACTCTCTCACCTGTGCATGTGCACACACACACACACACACACACACACACACACTGTGAGGACAGCAGGGGGGAACCTGCTCAGTTCTATCAGCTCATTAAAAGATAATCATAATGTGTGTGTTTGTGTGTACAAACACACACACAAAGACATAGCACAAAAACATGCTCCATTTAACTTTTAAGACACCATAACTTTGGCTCCTGCAGCTGATACTAATCTGAGCTACCAGTGCTGTTACAATAGCTGGCTGACTTTTTCAAATACCTTTGACAAACACACAGTCTTGTCTCCATGACTTCAGAGGACATTACACTGACTGACATTCATTTCCTGGAGACTTACTCTAACTTTAATCATAGATTCTAACTGCCTAACCCTCATCTTAACCCATCTAACTTTTACCAAACTTAAAAACATATCTAAACCTCATCATTTAATGATTTCTGTTAAAGCACTGTATTCATAGTGGAAGAAAGACATTAATTGTACAGGACTGTATACATGACAATAAAGGCTTTGAACTTTGAATCTGAACTTGATAGGGACTTGCCCATATTGTAACTGTGTCAACTGTAAACCATAAACTGTACAAAAAGACAAAGTGTTGATTGCATCCTGTTGGCTGAATTATGGGCCGTAAAGCCCACCTTCTCCGTGTTAATAGACTAAAAAAATTGAAGTGCACATTTCAGTGTAATTTTCTCTCAAATATGGTTTTGGTTATTTTTAATCACACAGATGTTTGTTCAAGTGCTATTATTATGCTACCAGTAAGTTTTTGGTTTTAGTTTGTTATTTGATGTACCGTGGCTCCATCCACCGATTGTTACGGTGCAGACTCTACCTCCAAACCCCTAAATCGTGACAGCGTTCGTATCAGGGATATTTTGGCTTCATTATTTGGACAGTGGGGAAGTGGAGATGTGTCTTCCATCTTTATATACAGCCTATGGTGTGAACTGTTTCAGGTCCCCCACAAATATTACACACAAACACTTTCTCTTTCTCTCTCTCTCTGTCTCTCTCTCACTATTTCAAACAAAAACATACCCCCCCCCCCCCACCACCACCACCACCACCACCACACACACACACAGAGAGGAAAAGTAGCCAAATGTTTTACAGCCTCTTAAACTTGTCTGTAATAGCAGTCAGAGTGGCGTCAACACAGCAGTCTCCAGGGTTACTCCAGGGGCTGCTAAATGGCTTTACTAGCTCCAGTCACTCTGCAGCTCGCACAGAAACACTTCACACTTCCTTACAATCCATAAACAACGAACACACTCAATCCAGCGCGCACACACACACACAGGAATCGGCACACAAACTAACACATCAGAAAAATTACATAAGACAGAACAATGACATCAGCAGGAACACACAGATCTTAACAGTCTGGGTAAATAAAAGCAACGATAGGCAATCAGCTGACTTGGGACTCGTGCATTGTGCGTAACAAAACATATGTATGTGACTCCTGGGGACCAAGCAGCCAGCATGCATTTATGGTCTCAGGATAAATGGAGCAGAAAAACCACATGCTATAATAACCAACACCTCCAGCAAAAAAACCAAACAAACAGGAAGCACATCCAAAGACACGATGGAGCAGAGAACTGGTTGAGCGCACAACGAGGAAAGAAACAATTCCAAAAGTATGAGAAGTGTAGCAGCCATTACTCAGTTTTATATTAAACAGCACATCCGCCAGAGCAGAGCCGTGTTTACTGAGCAATCATAACAGAGTCGAGGTGTCAGTGAAAGGTCCATAAACTATCACAGCTAAAGCTCGGAGTCGAAATGTGGCCCGTCAGCAAAGATGGGATAACTACATCAAAACAGATTCCCTTCCTTTCCTTTGCCGTCTTCCTCTTCCTCCTGACTGAAGGCCACTTCTTTCATTGAACCTTCTCTGTTTCACTAATCAGTCAACTTGTCAATAAGCATCTATGTGTTTCAGGATCCCTTACACTTCCCTCTGTCTGTTATCGTTCCTTTGCCTTGTTATCTCCTCCCCCCTACCTCTTTTTTGGTCTCCTACCACTCACTCGACAGCCTCTCCCATCCCATTGGCTACATTTCTGTTTTCCCCCTCTGTGTCATCGATCTCCTCGGCAGCATGTGGCTCAGTCTCGTCTCTCTCTGATACAGAGATGATGTAAAAAGATAACATACGGTGTCTCAGTAAAGTTTTCGGGCGCCCGGCTGTCTCTATGTCCTGCCGCCCACAGGTTTTTATTTGCTGTGTGTGCTCTGTCATAGGCTGCCATTCAGACTCAAAATCAGTTAACTGGAGACAACTTGTCCAATTGCTCAAAAGACAGATTTTAGGGACGGTTGTATAGGGATTGGGGATGATACATCCAAACACCCCCAGGTGTTAAGTACAGGTGTAGGCACAGATTTATATTTGACCCTCTGTCACCTAAAGACCCCTGTGGTTCATGGTTAGGGTAAGTGGACAGAGCAGGGGGGGTTAGGATGTAGAATTAAAAAAGCTAATTAATGGGTTATATGTGATCCGAATGGGTTTGTGTCAGGGATCCTTTCACTTAAGCAAGATTGAAACAAGTGGAAAATACATTTGGATATTACATATGTTCATTGTGACATCGTAGGATTAAAACATAGTAACACCATAAACAAATGTATACAAGTTATATAAATATGACAATAATAAAAAGATGAAATGGTGTTTTTAGTGCTATTAAAGTGCATATGTGTCACCATGCTAATAGTATCCACATTTTCATATATGAACCTCTTTCCAGACTTGTATAACTGCTATATAGACTTTCTGTCTATAGTACCTAACAGTGGTAAGGGTAGGGTAATGGTTAGGTGAGGGGAACTCTCCAGGAAGTGAATGCAAGTCTACCCAAGTGTGTGTGTGTGTGTGTGTGCGTGCGTGCGTGCATGCCTGTGTGTGTGTGTGTGTGTGTGTGTGTGTGTGTGTGTGTGTGGGTGTAAGTGCGTGCAGCATTGGGGGGGTAAAAATATACACACACAGTTCCTCCTCCTGCCCGAGGCTGG